CATTTATAATAAAGATTCTGCGCCTGACAGACATAAATCACTAGGACCAAGATAAGTAGTAGCTTGAGAGATGTATTACTTCACACAATTATCCACTAAACTTTAGGATAATTGCGTTTTAATACTCTAAAATAGAATGTGGAGAAATTGCTATTTGGTGTGGTATAGGAAGATGGACCACTCCAATTGGTTCCTGATTTTGTCGTCCTGCCGACTTTCTAAAATTTTTGGAAAATTACTATTGAGTAGGTGGAATATAAGAACAATGTTTGAAGTTGATCTAATAATTTATTTTTTTTAATGTTCGGACCCTCTTCCTAGAACGGGTTGCTTCATATTTAGTGGTGCCTATTTGGTAGAGACATGTCGACCTATTCACAAGAAATCATATAATATCGCACAAATGCTTGACAACGTCTATGGTTCCAAAATCGGAACTTACTTAACCTATTACTAATGTAAGACACATAATAGAATGATCCAAAACAGCATTTTGCAGGCCAGTGGGACTTATAATCTAAGAGTATGTTTGGGTAGCCTACAGAAATCAACAGAGCAGGCAACATCCTCGATGGAAGGAATGGGAGTAAGAAATGGAGTGCGAATTGTGTTTACTTGTTGGATAGGCTTGAGAAGAGGAAAATAGTGCGAATGAACAGGAAGAGCGGCTGAGCAAAAGAAGGAGGGTTGAATATTCTCGAGTGTGGTTAGAGCTATTTTACAACACATGACTTAAGCATTGCAAGAATGCAGTAGTTAATACCACAGGCCTATACGAGTGTCAGCATTAGATGATCATACGCCCGTTTAATGCTGTATGGAATTGGCCGCAATCACACTCATTTGCCTTTCCTAAATCAATTTCACTTATTTGCATACAGTAGAGGTGAGCTTGATGCAACCAATCAGCTCGAGGGATACCCCATTAATATCGTAAAATTGGACAGATAAAGTGAATATATTTGTAGTCAACCCCTTTTTTTATGGCTTAGTATATTGTTGCTATTTTTTGTAAAGTATGCTTTCTCGATCTGACGATATCTGTCACATGACAGACGTAAGCGGAACGCGAGTTTGTCGTGGTCGCAGAACGGTGACCACGACACCGTTCTTCTCTAAATCCAGTAGTCGTCACTCCAACTCGTCACTCCCTTCCGACTTCTGGCTGAATTCTTTCCAGTCAACTTTTGCTCCGATATGCAAAGTTGAGTCACATGAATTTTCTACTTGCTACATTTACTCAAACAGACTCGTTTTTTGCTTCACTTTACTCACTGCTGTATATACATTTTTGATAAAAGCAATGAGATGTATTCACCCTATTTCGTCTAAGGTGATGAAGGACTGGTATTAGAATTTTCCCACAATGATATGAGTAGAGCTGACATCGGCACTCCCACCAAAGAATATGATATAGCAGAGGCCTGACCGTCCTTGAAACTCACTTATGCCCTG